TTCAGTAATTGTCACTTAAATCATGCTATAGATCTCCAAATGACATGATTCAAGGACCAACGGTGACGTAGATTGAAGCGTACGATGGGAACAAGAAGAAGAACTTCAAGAGATAATTTTATTTCATCGATAAAAACCAAGTCTTCCAAAACAATGAAACCCACAATATATAGACTCCTATCCTTATTTTCCTAAATAAAACATAAAAATAATAATAACTCTCATAATAAATAAAAGACGGCCAATAATAAAGGACAACCAATAAAATAAGGAAAATAGATACTAAATGCGATAAATATCTTCTAGACCCGGAGCCGATCGTAGCGTGCTAAAAATGCCAATGCGATCTCGTCGCCATCATTCTCCCCCGGTTGAGGAGGATTCGCCCTCGAATCCGAAGGGATCTCGTCGTCCGAATTTTCCCCATGGTAAGGCACAAGATGTTTGACGTTGAAGACGTCGGAAGTGCGAACATGCGACGGAAGGCGAAGACGGTATGCATTTGGATTGATTTTCTTAATAATCTCCACAGGACCAATCTTCCGGGCGGAAAGCTTATTGTAATCATGAGCCGTAAATCGCTCCTTAGTTAACACTGCCCAAACATAATCTCCCACCTCAAACTCCACATGGCACCGACGGGTATCGGCCCGCCGTTTGTAATCCGCCGTCACCTCCTCGAGGCGCGCACGAGCAGCTACGTGGGTCTGCTGCAGCGAGGCGATCTGCTCCTCAGCCCGGCGATCAGGCGGCTCTGATGACAGAAACGACAAGAGATCGGCCAGGCCCCGTGGACGGACAGCGTAGACAACCTGAAAAGGCGACAGCCCCGTAGCCCGACTAATAGCCGAGTTGTGTGCGAATTCCGCCTGACTAATCCGTGAGTCCCAACTCCTCAAATGTTCACCCACCAAGCAACGTAAAAGATTACCGAAAAACCGATTGACCGCCTCCGTCTGACCATCCGTTTGTGGATGATAAGCGCTACTAAAATCAAGACGAGTGTTCGCAAGACGCCACAGGCTTCGCCAAAAATGGCTAAGGAACCGCGAGTCGCGGTCCGACACAATCGATGAAGGAAGCCCGTGAAGACGATAAATCTCCTGGAAAAAGAGCTGAGAAACGTGAAGGGCATCTGAAGTCCGCTTACACGGAATAAAATGAACCATTTTAGAAAAGCGGTCCACACCAACAAAAATCGAATCATGGCCCTTCTGCGTTCGTGGTAACCCAAGCACAAAATCCATGCTGATAGCCGACCAAGGTTGGGATGGAATAGGTAAAGGCCGATAGAGGCCCGCGTTCGTCGCACCACCCTTAGAGACCTGGCAGATGCGGCACCGAGCAACGAAACGGGACACGTCGCGCCGCAAAGTGGGCCAAAAGTAGGCCCGCTGCACCAGCTCAACCGATCGGTCCCGGCCAACATGGCCAGTCCCATGCAGCTCACTCACCAACTTCAAGCGAAGACTACACTCCGGAATACACAGACGCAAACCCCGGAAAAGAAAGCCATCATGAATAAGAAAGTCCTCAAAAACACCCTCCGCCAAACGCGCGACAATAGGCCCAAAAAACACATCAGAAGCATAAAGATCACGCAGCATGTCAAAGCCCACGACAGAGATGCGCATGTCAGAGAGCAAAAGCGAACGATGACTAAGTGCATCAGCCACACGATTCGAAGCTCCCAACCGATGTTTCAACACAAACGTAAATTGTTGTAAATAAGAACTCCAAGTAGCATGGCGTGCACTAATGTTATCCTGGGAAGCAATATGTCGCAGCGCCTCATGGTCAGAAAAGAGCACAAACTCACAATGAAAAAGGTAGTGTCGCCAAAAACGAACCGCCCGATAAACGACGTAAAACTCAATGTCATACGTACTATAACGAGCCCGAGCACCGGACACCTTTTCACTAAAATAAGCAATAGGACGTGAGTCCTGGCTCAGGACCGCGCCGATGCCAACCCGGGACGCATAGCACGAAAGCTCGAAAGGCCGAGAGAAGTCCGGCAAAACTAGGATCGGGGCCGACGTGAGGCGTTGCTTGACCAGCTCGAAAGCCGAGGCTGCCTGATCGGTCCACACGAACGTCTTCCCAGCCAAACAATCCGTGATCGGCGCCATGAGAGAACTAAAATGCGAGATAAAACGCCGATAAAACGACGCAAGGCCATGAAAGCTCCGTACCTCCGTAAGCGATGTAGGTGTAGGCCAGTCACGGATTGCCGAAATCTTCCCGTCATCAACCTGAATACCGGCAGCAGACACAACAAACCCCAAAAAGAGGACCGAATCCACCAAAAATGAACACTTATGCGGTGTCGCATAAAAGGACTCGGCTCGAAGAATCAAGAGAACCTCACGTACATGGGTCAAATGGTCCTCCACGGTCCGGCTATAAATCAATATGTCGTCAAAGTAAACGACCACACACTTACCAATGAGATCCCGCAGTGTTCGGTTCATGACCCTCATGAAGGTGCTCGGTGCGTTGGACAACCCGAAAGGCATAACTAACCACTCAAAAAGCCCCTCCCGGATTTTAAAGGCGGTCTTCCATTCTTCACCCGGGCGGATACGAATTTAGTGGTAGCCACTCCGCAAATCAAGCTTCGTAAAAATCGTCGCCCCATGCAACTGGTCCAAGAGATCGTCCAAACGTGGGATGGGGAAGCGGTAACGCACGGTGATCTTGTTGATAGCGCGGCTATCTACACACATTCGCCAAAAACTATCCTTCTTCGGGATCAACAAAGCCGGCACGGCACACGGGCTAAGACTACGTCGAACCACCCCTCGCTGGAGTAAATCTTCCACTTGTCGTCGGAGTTCCTCATGCTCGGCTGGGCTCATGCGATAGTGTGGTCGGTTTGGCAGTGCCGCCCCGGGCACCAAATCAATGTGATGTTGTATATCTCGGAGGGGTGGCAAACCGGAGGGCAGCTCGATTGGAAAGACATCAGAGAACTCCTGTAATAATGGAAGGACAACGGGAGGAGGTGAAAGAGCAGGAGAACTGTCCGAACCCAACAGCAAAAGAATAAATGGGGCCTCCTGCATCTCAACCGAAAAAGCGGACTGGGAAAGAAATAACACCGAAGAGCTCGTAAGTGCAGGTAAAGGAGAAGGTGGCGCCGAATGTAACACAACCGTAACACCTGCAAAACTGGAAGTATAAGTGTTAAGACGTCCATCGTGAGTGACGGCCCGATCAAACTGCCAGGGTCGACCCAAAAGCAGATGACAAGCGTCCATAGGGACCACATCGCACCACACCTGATCACGGTAAGACGCACCAATAGAGAAGGAGACAAGTACGCGGCGGTCAACCATGACCGAATTGCCGCGTTAAATCCACGCCAAAGAATAAGGTCGCGGGTGCGGTTCGGTAGCCAATTTAAGCTTGTCAACAACCACCTGCGTGATCACATTTTCGCAAGACCCCGAATCAATGATAAACTTGCACACTCGGTCGCCCACCGTGCATGTAGACTCAAATAGGTGATGTCGTTGGAGGGAGTCAGGAGAGTCCCCACGCGGTGTCAAGCACGCACGATGAAGGACCAGAGCCGTCCCGATATCACCGTGATGATGCTCCACGGGTTCAGTAATTTCCTCATCAAAGAGTGGAGGCCCGTCATACAATGGTTGGTCCTCCTGGTCACCCGAGCCGTCCACCAACATTGTTCGCCCGACACTGAACCGAGGGCATGAGGACTGTCGATGGCCCGGTTCTCCACAAGAGAAACAGCGTGTGACGCCCCGTTCGTTTATGAATAATTTGGATTATTGTTATTATTATTATTATTTTTACCATTATTTGTGGCTATTATTATTGAATGACTAATTGTCTAAATGCTTAAATGATTTTATGTGCCTAATTGTGTTTATTATATATATATATATATATATATATATTAATTGTGGTATTTTATTTTAATTATTAAATACTAATTTTAAATATTTTAATTATTATTGTAATTTTATTTTCGTCGAACCGAGCTCGTTCAAACCCGCGAGCCGCGCGCCCGTGAGCCGCGCATCCGTGAGCCGCGCTGATGAAGGATCGGGTGTTCGTGTCCTCGACTTGTCTCGATCACGGCTTCGCC